GGTGAACGGGTGAATTTCGCGAGTGGATCTTCGATCTAGGTGGAGAATGATGAAAATGTGTAGCTCTTGACCCACTCGGCGATACCCGATGTAGGAAGAAGTGTTATATCCGTGTAACAGTTTTCAGTTTTCCGTGTCTAGAATGTAGCACGTCCTAGATAGTTTCTCTCTCCCGGCTACGCGGACTGTCATAGCTCCCTTGTCCGCTGTACTATAAAAGCATACGTCTATGTAATAAAGACACTCTGGCTGGTTACTCAGGCTATCCTGGTTGCCGACTTCGCTTGACGTGTTCTCAACCGAAAGTCCCGTGTTTTTATTCAACATGGTGAATCCCTCCACACCGTATCTACCTCACAGCTGAATTTCGACTGAGCATTCGACTAGTGGACCATCAAATTTCCAACAGTATATATCGACAATTCAAAGACAAAAGGGGTCTTTAGAGGAATATATACGACAACACGCGAGGCAGCCGACTCTTGGCGCTTGCAAGAGCAGGAATGCTCAACACCAGGAGTCGACAACATGCCCGAGACCCTTCGATCGACGAAAGCTGCCCCAAATGCGGAGCCCCAGAGACAGACACCCACATCGTTCTGGAATGCGAGGAAGGAAGATTCGACCCACAAGAATATTCGCACCGACTTGGACTTCACCCTGGTACTACCGCGAATGATCTAAGGAAGACGAAAAATATCTTGACGAAGTGGGCGGATGAATGATCTGTGAATGCAAAAAAATTCACCCCTGAAATGAAAGGGACTATATATATGCATATGGAAGATCGAAATAAAATCAATCAATCAATCAATCAATCAATCAATCAATCAATCAATCAATCAATCAATCAATCAATCAATCAATCAATCAATCAGAGCATCAGATTATGCCCAGTAAACTTTATTGAAGCGGAACGCGTAATATATACGTATACGTACACTGAAGTAAGAGAAAGGGAAACAAGACTGCGTAGGAGTCTAGCTAAGCGTAGTGACAACGAACACGGGAAAGACAGATTTCAACAGCCCCCGTTCACGCGATCGTAGTCCTGTATATTATTCTAGCGACATTACTGACAGAATAAATGGCTGATAAACATAGCCAGCTGAATCTCTCCAATTGAGTAATCGAATCTCTGAGAATTCCTCCCTCAGAAGCTAACAGATCATTTACCTATGCTACCGATGTCAAGTATCAGCCTCAGATGTAACAGGTAGTTTGAGATGGTCTCATCTTCGAATTTCGTTGTCTCATGGGAATGAGATGCATCCAACTTTTGAAGATGAAAGAATCTGAATTTCGGATCGAGTATCACATGTCAGGAAAGAGATTTTCCGTCCTACAAGTATATGAGAGGATACGTTCGGACTCACAATTAGACGGTCATGACCTACGAGAACTACTCTCAATCCGGAATGGAGATGTCAGTTGTCGAAGAACCTGTTGAAGACGTTCACCCCTTCATTCCAAGAAGGGAAACTCAGGTTTCTCAATCACGGTCAAGGTTTTGGAACCGATGGATTGTTTTCGGGTCCATCCTAGCACTAATCATCGTAGTGCTCTCAATCTCCCTGATTTCCATCACAGTGTCCTGGTCGTTGACCATCGGTGAGTTTTTCTTTCAACTGGTGATTCCCTTCAGTTTGTAGCGCACGAGTGACGTTTTCTTTGTTTGTTGTCCAGAGAAATCCATTAATATCACGAATCACCTCGCCAATCATTCGAACATCAGTCGAACTGTTCCGAGCACATCATCACCAGCCCCCGCTCCCGCGATTGATTGGAATCCGTGGGAGGGCTTGAACTACGAGGAAGGTTCGAGTCGAGACATCTTTCCTCCAAGACAGTTCGGATGTCTTCCAAGGATGATTTGGCTGATCTGCAGCTCTCCACTGGATCGGAAGTGTGTTCTTCGACCGAAGAATCGAGGCGGAGAAGTATTCCAGTTCACATCATGGAGCCGAGAAGCGTACGAGAGCTGTACACGATCGTAGGTAACATCAAAGACTGTGATCAGAGTGAATGGTATCTGTCCATGGAATAAACAATGAAGTTTGTTCCGAATAGTTTCCTCTGACGTCATTCTGTGGTTTCGCGCGGAGTAGTCAGGAAACTTTTTTTGACATTTCCTGGGCTAACATAGCTTATAAAAGTACATGATTCGATCTAACAGATTATACTTTAGAGGTTGGAACAATTTTCTCCGAGAGATTTTTGTTCAAATAGGGGGGGTTATCCATGGTTTCGTTATCCAGTCTTCGATTGGACTTATCGATTGGATGCCTCGAATTAGAAAATCGAGAGCCAGCAGGAGAAGGAGATACGATCGGTCCAGATCCAGAAGCAGAGAAGAGTCCGGCATCGAGCAGAGGAGGAGACGGCTCACGAGGACCTGTAGCTGTGGGAGGAGCCGAAAGTCGAGGAAATCTCAGGCGAGGCGCCGTCGAGTCGGTTCTGCCAAGAGCAGGAGGCCGCAGAAGTCTCCGGTGAGGAGTAGCCGGGAGACCCCAGCCTGGAGTCCCGCAGTGCTAACCAACGGCGCGCGAGACCTGAGGATGTCTGACCCGGAGTGGGTAACCGCCGAAGAGGCGACAAGCGGCGGGCCGTCCGGGAGGACGGTCCGCAATACAAGGCGGCAGTTCGACGGGAGATGGAATCGGAGGTCTGATGAGGTTTGATCGGTTTGTCATTTTTGACAGCTAATTTCTTTTTGTATATATGTTCATACATAGCTGAGCTTAATAAATTGAAAATATAGGATTGTAATAACGATTATCAATCTTCTCGTTTCTTAGAAAGCGCTGGGCCGCCGTCAATGGAGCAAAAAGGCCGGGAATGCCCCCCGCAGGGGGAGTCTCCCTCCCACTGTGTGGAAGGGGAGCACAAGTGAGCTCGACGGCCTTATCGGCCCGGGGGAATTGACGCCCCCGGGTCGATTTTTCCGGCGGACCAGCTCACGTGCAGATCTGCGGGTCTGCACGTGATCTGCGTGAGCGTCAGGGATGCTGTATGCATCCCGGGAAAAGA